TAGACCCTTTAATTATGATATAGTGTCCTTCCTTATCTCTTATTACAGTCTAATAAAAATCTAATTTGTCTGATATAAGGATTGCCACCCCAGCTTTCTTTTGATGTCCATTAGCATGAGAAATGCTTTTCCACTCCCTCACTTTCAACCTGGAGGTGGCTTTGGGTCTCAAATGAGTCTCTTGAAGACAGCATATCAATGGGTCTTGCTTTTCTATCCATACTGATGTCCTGTATCTTTTGATTGGGACATTTAGCCCATTCACATTCAGAGTAACTATCGAAAGATAGGAATTTAATGCCATTGTATTACCTGTAAAGTCCCTGTTTCTGTATATTGTCTCTGTTCCTTTTTGGTGTATGTTACTTTTGGCCTCTCTCTTTGCTTAAAGGATCCTTTTTAATATTTCTTGCAGGGCTCGTTTAGTGATCACAAATTCTGTTAGTTTCTGTTTGTCCTGGAAGCTTTTTATCTCTCCTTCTATTTTGAATGACATCCTAGCTGGATAAAGTATTCTTGGCTGCCTATTTTTCTCATTTAGCACCCTGAATATATCATGCCAGTGCTCTCTGGCCTGCTAGGTCTGCTGCCAGTCTAATGTTTCTACCCTTGTAGGTGACAGACCTTTGTCCTGAGCTGCTTTCAGGATTTTCCTTTGTCTCTGAGATTTGCAAGTTTCACTGTTGTATGTTGGGGTGACCTATTTTTATTGATTTTGAAGGGGGTTCTCTGTGTCTCCTGGATTTGAATGCCCGTTTCCTTCCCCAGATTAGGGAAGTTTTCTGCTATAATTTGCTCCAATATACCTTCTGCTGCCCTCTCTCTCTTTCTTCTTCTGGGGTTCCAATTATTCTAATATCATTTTGTTTTATGGTATCACTTATCTCTTGAATTCTCCCTTCATGATCCAGTCGTTGCTTAACTTTTTCTCAGCTTCTTTATTCTTCATCATTTTGTCTTCAATATCACTAATTCTCTCTTCTGTCTCATTTATCCTAGTAGTTAGAGCCTCCATTTTTTATTGCATCTCACTGATAGTTTTTTTTTATTTCAACTTGATTAGATTTTAGTTCTCTTATGTCCCAAAAAGGGATTCTCTAGTGTCTTCTATATTTTTTTTCAAGCCCAGCTAATGTCTTTATAATCATTATTCTGAACTGTAGTTCTGACATCTTTTTTTTCTTAAGATTTTGTTTATTCATTTGAGACACAGAGATACAGAGAGAGAGAGAGAGCATGAGCAGGGGGAGAGGCAGAGGGAGAGGGAGAAGCAGGCTCCCTGCTGAGCCAGGAGCCCGACATGGGGCTCAATCCCAGAACCCCAGCATCATGACCCAAGCTGAAAGCAGACACTTAACCATCTGAGCCACCCAGGTGCCCCCTGACATCTTACTTATATCCATACTGATTATGTCCCTGGCAGTCAGTACTGCCCTTTATTCCCTTTTTTGAGGTGAGTTTTTTTCATCTTATCATTCTGCCAGAGAAGAATAGATGAACAAGGGAACAGAAGACTAAAATGACAACAATGACCCCAGAGAAATATACACTAAGCAAATCAGAAGAGACCTGAACAAAAAAAAAATTAAAATTAAAAAAAAGAGAGATTATAATTAGACAGGTGAACAGGAGAGAGAAATACACTGGATCCTGTGTATACTTTGGTCTGTTTGTTATAAAACTAGATCCCAAAATTATAAGGAAAGAATAACATATATGTACAAAAATAAAATTAAATACAATGAAAGGATAGAATGTCACTGTAAAAATGAAAATTAAAAGACAAAAATAGAAAAAAGAATGCATATCAACAGACAGGCGAACAGAAGAGAGCAATATACTATATCTTGAGTGTATTTTGCTTGGTTTGTTAGAAGAGACTACATCTCAAAATTGTAAAGAAAGAAAAACTTACATATATATACAAAATAAAATTAAATACGTTGAAAGGATAGACTATAACTGTAAAGATGAAAATTTAAAAAGACTTTAACAACAAGAAAGAGAGAAAGAATATGATCAGACAAGTGAAGAGAACAGAGCCGTACACTAGATTCTGGGGTTATTTTGGTCTGTTAGTTAGAAGAAACTGTATCCCAATGTAGTAAAGAAAGAAAAACATATATATATGAAAATAAAATTAAATACAATGAAAAGATAGAATGTAATTGTAAAAATAAAAATTAAAAAAGATTTTAAAAAAAGAGTTGATACTATAAGAAATTCGTTGAAAAAATAAAGAGAAAAAAACATTAAAGTTTAAAGACTAAAGAATCATGGGGAAAACACCATGAATTGTATATACTATTTTCCCAGTGCTGGAGTTTTGCAGTTCTCTATGATTGGTAAACTTGGTCTTAGCTAATGTTCTTGCTGATCTTCTGGGGGAGGGGCCTGTTGCACTGATTCTCAGGTGTCTTTGCCCCAGGCAGAATCGCATCATTCTTGCCAGGGGGGCATGCTAATTAATCTGCTCGAGATTGCTCTATGTGGCTTTTGTTCCCTAAAGGCATTCTGCAGGGCTTTAGAGGTTGAGAATGAAGGGCAGGCTCCCAATCTCCAGCCCTCGAGCCAAGAGCTCAGGGCCCCACTACTCAGTGCACCCTCAGGGAAAAGCAGTCAATCACTCCTGTCTCCCTGGTCTCCGTCCACTTGCTGTGCTCACCCAGCCTATGACTGAGCATCAGGCACATGGCTGGGTTTCCAGTCTCCAAACCCTACAGACTCCTGCGGCTCATAACTGTGCCGCTCATCCCGGGGTAGGAAGGAGATCTCGCTGGTTCTGCCACTTGCTGCACCCCTGCTTGGAGAGCAGTCCCCCAACCATGCTGTGGTTCATGGTTTATGGCAACCTCAAGCTGAGAGCCCACGCCTGGGCTCGCTGATTGCAGCTGGCTTCCCTGCTCTGATGCCTAGGAACTATGCCATACTCAGGCACCTCCGATCTTCTGTGACCCCGGGGATCTTAAGATTAAGATTCCGTTCTGCTTCACCACCTGAGCACCTTCAAGGCAGGGATGTCCCTTACTGGAGCAGACTTCTAAGAGCTCTGATTTTGTACTCCGGTGCTATATCACTTTCTGGTGCTGGCTGATGGAGGCTCCCCCCGCCCATGGTTTATCTTCCCATATATCACCTCAGATTCACTTCGTCTGCACCTCCTACCTGGCAGAAAAGACAAGTCACTAATTATGGGAGCACATATTTGAAAGGCTTAATTGATAAAATTTCACCAACCACAGTATGAGTCCTATAATTCAGTAAGGAAAAGAAAAACCCAAGAAAGATGGGGAAGACTTGAACAGAAGAGGGAATGCAATAGGAAGTGAAAAGATGTTCACCATGATGACAGCCAAAGAAACTCAAATTAAATCACAAGAAGATTGGGAACAACTTGGCCACATAGAATGTGGTTGGGGCCCAGAACACTTCCTCACCGAGAGATAAAGAGCCCACAGGGAGTCTGCTGGGCTTATTGCCTTTTGTGGAAATATTTTTCAGGCTCCCTGAGTGCTACTTTGTTCTCCTTAAATGCATAAGCCAGTGACCCTCAGACACACCCCATTTAAGGCCAGGGTTCTCCTGCAGGACAAGTGGGTACATGCAGCCAACGAGCCCACATGGGCTGCTGAGTAGATGCATCGGCCATGGGGGACGGATGTACTGCCTGGATCCCTCTCTCTCTCCTTCTGCTGTAGGTAAACTCTGCAACCCTTGAGTCTGTGTGCATGTTGTCTGTTCTCAGTGACCTTGAAACCTGCATGGGCCTCTTTCCTGCTCACACTTACCTGCCTTGGTTGCAAAGCCTGGCTACCATGTGGATGGTGAAACTAAGCACTATTTCAAACTGGCAAAAGTTAACAATATAAATGTCTGACACACCAAGTAGTCACACACAGAGGCAGGGCAATAGGAGCCCTCAGTCATAGCTGATGGGAGCTAAGTGGGGCCACTAACGGGTTTGGAAAATCATTTGGCATTATCTAGATGGTTGGGTGTGCACAAACCCTAAACCCCAGCAATTCCATCCCTAAGTATGTACCCTAGTGAAATCATTTCACATATGTACTAGGTGACCTGTACAAAAATGTTCATGGCAGCCCTGGCTGTGAAATAGCCCCAGATGGGAACAACCCAAAACCGTCAACAGAAAAATGGATAAATCAGATGTGGTGTATCTTATCTTCTCTCATCTGAAGGGCTGTGTGTCTGGGTAGCGTATCCAAAGGCATGAAGGGCTGGAGCTTCTCTTGGTCGGGGTCCTCACAAGGAGGGAGGACACCCCGAAGCCAGCACTGAGCATGGTCAGGAGCAGGGACACCTCCAGGATGACCAGGAGCAGGAAGTGGACCTTGCTAAGCAGAGACCTGTGGGGGACACAGTGACAGACACTGAGCTGCCTCCTCAAGAGGAGGCCCCAGGTCCCTCCTTTCTGCCCCCTGGTCTCTCTGATCCAAGACCCTGTGGACCTAATAACCACATTTGGGCCAGACTTGGATATCTGGATATACTCACTCCCAACCCCTTAGCTCAGCAGCTGACTTTGGGCATTAAGTAGGCCGATACTGAGAGGAGAGAGAGGGTTTGCCTGGGCAGGACCTGGTTTCCACAAACAGCTGCTTTATCCTAAGCCCCGCCCCTTCTTTTGCCATCCATACTCCCAAGAGCTCAGTTCAGGTTGGGACTGTTTTTGGTGATTTCTCACAGGTCAAGGTCTACGTAGGCTGGTGCTACATAGGTTCTTGGCGAATATTTGGTGAGTGGATAGAAAAAGGAACGAATGTTGTATTGAGAGGCTGCCCTGGGGGTTCTCAGGAGGGCAAGGTCACCAAAAAGGAGGCCCTCCCTCACCTTGGGCTCCCCTGGCCAACCGGGCTGTACTTGGCGCTCTCTGCTAGCAAGTTAGGAGTCCTATGGAGTGCTTTCCCGTTCTCCCCAGCAAATCACTTCGCACATCTACTTGTGTGTGTGTGATATATTTCATTGCATTTATTCAAGCATGTATTTATTTATTTATTTATTTTTACCAGTTTTTGGGAAGAGGTAGGTTTGGGGTCAGAAGTTCTTCCTCCTCTAGTCTGAGTGGCGGTGTCTCTGGACAGGATATCGATGCTCAAGGAGGGCCGCAAGTTGTCTTCATCAGGCCGACTCTGTGCCCCACAAATTGCCCACTGAGGCCTGTTAACCCAGAGGACAGCACTGAGCATAATCAGAAACAGGGGCACCTTCAGGAGAATGAGGAGTAGGAAGTGGACGCTGCCAAACAGGGACCTGTAGGAGGGACACGGAGACTGGCAGGTGTTTCCTCCTGGACATGAGGCCCAGGCTCTGCCTCTCTCCCACCTGCCTTTGTGCTCAGGTCCCGTGGCCTCAAAAGTCAATATCAGCATCAAAGCTGATTGGTACCAGGGCCAGATGGTCCCGTGCTGAGGACCCCAGGCTCCTGTCCTTCAGCTCAAGCCTCAACCTTGAGCATCCAGACGCAGCAGACACATGACGATGTGGTGGTGAGGAATGGGAAAAGGAGACGAGGGGACGCAGGAGGATCTGGCTCCCAGAAACTCTCTGAGAGTTCACAAAGCAGAGGGCATTCAGGGACTGAGCTTCTGGGGCTGTCACCTGTCCCTAACCAGACCCAGGCCTGGCCAGAGTGTGGCAAATCCCCATTCAACAGCATCCCTATCTGCTCTGCAGATGGACATATCATAATCCAGGACCAGAGAAGCATCACCATCCCCATTAAGCACTTCAGCATCCCTCATCTCACTGGAAACAGGAATGTTGGAATGTTGGCACAGGAGCGAGACCTCAGGTCCCACCCCCAGGCAGTGCAGCCCCCCTGCCTTGTCCATCCTGCCAGAAGACTGCAGAAGTCAATTCAGGAAGTTTGACAACAGGGACACACAACCCTGTGAGCACAGGAGGGTGGCACAAACTCCCTGGTCCTGATAGAGATGCACAGCCCCGAGCTCTCCATGTGGACACCAGCCTCAGAGTCCTTGAGTCCCATAGCTCTTGTCAGGCCCTGGGCTAGTGGCAGGGGCCTTGGATGTCACACTCCCACCTTCCCTCACTCTCATGGGCTCTCACACACGCAGGCACACACATGCTCTTTCACACTCATGCACACTCCCACCCACCCACCCTTCCCACACACTCACACCCACATAGCCCACTTGGTCCCGAGTCTCTGAGGCCCAAATATCAGGCCTGGCTCTTTTCTCCTGAGTTGAGATTTGCTCAGACGCTCTGCAGGGATTAGCTCACATCTCTTCTTCCGTGGCAGCAAAGAAAAGCAGGGTCTTACCTAGGGGAAACAAACACTTGAACCTGGAAAAAAAGGTCAGGCAGGAAACCATGGAGTCCTTCTTCATGCAGCATTGTTGCAATCCCACACCTGTATTTTCCTGCATCATCTGCAGTGAGGTTCTCCAAGGTCACTGTGAAGGTGAGGTCTCCAGAATGGTCCACGATGGACACGCGGCCACTCCTCATCTTTTCCTCAGACCCTCTGGCGGCCACAATCTGGTTCCAAAGTGGCAAGCATGGTTGTCGGCACCAGTATTTGGTAAATGTCTTGTATTTCTCCTCGTACCGACACTGCACTCTCAGGGATCCCCCCACAATGCCCATCACAGTGCTGGGGCCACTCAGAGACAAAGAGCCTGAAAGACACCATCAGTATTTTCTTCATCTGAAGAGCCTAGGCTGGAGGGGCCTTGGGGTTCAGGTCCCCTGGAAGCCCAGACGTCACCCTGAGGCTGGAGGGGGGAGGAGCAGGAACCAGGGAGGTATGGGCTGTTGGCAGATACAAGGGGGGAGACCTGAGGAGATGCCTGGTATGTGATTCTGGGACTCAAGAGGCCATGCCCAGCCTGTGTGTGCTCAGCCAACAGGGGAGAATGTGGGGGGAGAAGATTTTGGGTGGCCCCAGACAGGTTCTGGATCCTTAGACGTGTCAGTCCTGAGAGGAAACAGCTGTGCCCATCAATCACCAAGAACTGAATGACTCCACTGAGTATACTCTGAATAAATGGATGAACGGATGCATGGATGGATGCATGGATGGCTGGACCGATAGACAGATGGAATAGGAAACAGGAAACAAGAATGGGAACCAAGGAAGTCCAGATGAAGCGCAGTATTGAGAGCTAGAAGGAAGCCTTCAGCTTCTGGCTACATCCCCTTCCCAAATGATCATCTGTAGGCCCCAAGCTTATAATCCCTGCTTGTATAGGTGGAACCTCCTGCTCATAGGTCTGGGTCACACAAGAGATGGGCATTGGCCAGGGGGTATAAAGGGGCCATCAGCAGCAGAAAAAGAAGGTAGCGGGAGGGGAAGAATGAAGGGGGGGAAATCAGAGGGGTAGACGAACCATGAGAGACGATGGACTCTGAAAAACAAACTGAGGGTTCTAGAGGGGAGGGGG